CTCATGTCCACTAGATAACATGCAAAATGATGTTACTAGAAGTATTTTTGTAATAGCACACAGTTAGATATAATATGGATGTCCAACAATAGTGAAATGGGCAAAATAATCATGATGTATCAATTTAATGCTCTGTTACAGAGTGAAAAGAAAAGTACTATAATATGGATTAAATTCACAAATATGATTTTAAGTGAAAAGAGGAAATTTGATCAAGAATAGATATAAGATTTATCTAAAAATTTAAAAAATGAGAACTATGTATTATTTAAAGATATCAGACCTGTGGTAAAATCAGAAATGAATGCAAGCAAATGTTAAACACAAGAGTCAGGGCGGTGACCTCTTGGCGATGGACAGGCAGACACTGTGGGAGGCGCACGTAGGCCTCCATGTTGGTTCTGTTCTAATTTTTAAACTGGTGCAGAGGACAGGGCTGTTTCTATTCTCATATTTTATAACTTGCATACACTTTCCAGTATTTTATATGTTGTGAGGATTTTCTCAATTGAAAAGAAAAGTAGTCATTGGCTCCATCTATATTCTTTTTGCCAGGCCATTATTAGCTGTTCTTACTAAATGATAAAAGTTTATTAAATTAAGATTTTCCCACCAATGTGCTTAGCATATGCTGCTTCTTTTCCCTTAATTACCTTCTACTGCCTCATCAGTTTATTTATTATGTGAAAGTTCCCTTTGGAACCTGGTTCAAGTGTCACCTCAAATATCCATGACCTTCCTAAATTTTAATGTTCTCATCTTTAACATTAGGAGAATAGTTCCTAGCTCACAAAACTGTAGTTATTTTAAAAATTACATATATCTTATTGAAACTGATGTTAATAGTAATCTATTTATTCAGATTTGTTTTGAGCAAACATGTTGAACATCTGCTGTGTTACAAATGCTGTAAGGGGGTACAGAGTGAGTAAGACACAATGCCTCTTTTCAAGGAAGGTGCCGGTCATACAACTAAACCATACTGCTATAAGGGATGGAATTGTGGAATATAAACAGTGCTAAAGAACCTTATAGGAGAAAGGAACTTGTGCTGTAAATCCTGGTCAAAGAGGTGGTGTTACAGCCCTGGCTGAGTGGTTCACTTGGTTGAGCACCACCCCATACACCAAAAGGCTGCATTTTTGATCCCTGGCCGGGGCACATACCCAGGCTGTGGCTTTGATCCCTGGTCGATGCATGTACAAGAGGCAACCAATTGATGTTTCTCTCTCACACTGATCTCTCTCTCTCTCCCCCCCCCCCACCTTTCCATCCTCTCTCTCTAAAAAATCAATAAGCATGTCCTCAAGTGAGGTTTAAAAAAAAAACCCAGAGGTAGTAGTATATGAGATGAGCCTCTGATGATCTTTTTCAGTTTATTCTTGTGTATGCAAAGTTCCTCTTTATCTTGCCCATTTCCTACTAAACACTCCAAGTATTTCAGATGAGTCACCACGCCCCCATAAAGACTCGTAAGAGATTCACCCATCCCAGACCTTAGCCTCTCTCACTCTCACTTCCTTCCAGGGGAAGCCATCCACTGTTGCCTGTTGGCAGACAGGATAAACAGATTCCATTTTAGCCTTGTCTAGACTTGGGCAAAGTAAGTGCCCTAAAAATGCCGCGTAAATATTTTTTTGGAATGGTATGTCTCCATGAATCATCTGATTAATTAGAATGGTCATTTTGATTCCATTTTTTATATGACCAAAAAAACCAATATCTGACAAATTTACCGACCCAGAGAGAAACTTCTCAGAAAAAGCTAATACTTACTGGACCCCAGCTCTAGCAAGCCACAATGCTAATTCTTTTATTACAGAATGATGCCATCATAACCACAGATTTAGAAACATCATAAAACCTTCTAGTTTATTAAAATCTTTGGAGACTTAATGGGGATTTAATAGAGACAAGGAAAAAAAAACAACTGTGTGCTTCTCCAGAGATTCTTCTTGAAAGCTCAGTTTACTAGTACTTTTAAAAGGGGTGTATATTTTCTTGACTTCTAGGATGATCCCTTTAAAAACATTAATCAGGCCTTTCATACCCCTTCTCTTAATCCTCTAATGGCCTCTTAGAAAAAATAAAAATCTGAAGTTCTTTCTGTGGTTTACCAGATCACTACATACGGTCTAGCCACACAGGCCTTCTTGTCTGTCCTTGAACTTACCATGCATGTTCTCAAAGGCTAGGGGCCATGTGCTAGCTTTTCCCCTGACAGAATCACTCTTCCCTAGATTTTTACTGAGCTCTCTTAGTTCACTCAGACTTCTGCTCAAATCTGCTCAAATGCTGCCTCCTTTGAGTTTTTCCCGATCACCCTATTTAAAGTACAATTCAGATTGCTTTCTGTAGCTAATTCTGCTGTATGTTTTTTCATAGCATTATGTCACTCTCTGACATTATTATGTATGGTTTGTTTTTTTTTATGCTTGTTCTCTTTCTCTTAAATGTAAGTTCAAAGAGAATTGGGGTTTGGTCTGTATCCTGCTGCTTGGTACATAGTGGTGTGTAATAAATGTTTGTTGAATGAATGTAGGACAACTGTACTTGAACAACAATAAAAAAGAGTAGAAAAAATAAAAATAAATGAAAGTTTTATTATTTAAAAATAACAAAAGGAAGAGCTTATATTTCTGTTGCTAGAAGGGATAGGGTTAAAAAAAACAAATAGCCAAGGCTTTGTAGTGCTAGCCATGGTGGTACACACAGGAGCAGTGTGAATTTTTATAGAAAATATACAGAACTTGACATCAGAAGATCTGGGCATATTAGGCATATGACTTGGTAAGTCTGAGCATCAGTTTCCTCTGACCACATAGATCCAACTAAAGTTGATAAGATCAAAGGAGATAAAATAAATGGTAACTTTTCATAAATCTGAAGATCTTTATATTATTATTATTATTGCCACCGCTTTGGGCCACCACCTCTTATTTTCCCCTTAATATACCACCACCTCTTTTCTTTTCCTTAGCCCTCACCTGAGCACATGCTTATTGATTTTTTAGATAGAGGGGAAGGAAAGGAGAGAAAGAAAGAGAGACACATCAGTGTGAGAGAGAAACATGTAGTGGTTGCCTCTTGTACATGCAAATATTACAAAAAGAAAACCAGCTGTTCAAATTAAAATTTACAACTTTTAAAACTAGAAGAACTCTCCTAAACATCTAATAAACTTACAACCATTCTTAAAAGGAAAAAAAAACTGCAATGAAAAAAATGAGTTGAAAAGCTGTTTCAACAAAATATATTTCCACATATGCATACATTAAAAATGCAGTTATAAGCATTGTCTCTTAAACTTTAGTATTTTTAAAATTAGCTAGGATTTTCATAATGGTTCTTACTCTGAGGAATGAGTAGATATGCTAATCTCAACTGGTTACAAATTTTAATTTCATAATATCCCCAGCCACCTATTGTAATCCTATGAGTCATTCTATGTAAATAAAAGAAAACGGTAAAATCCCCCTTCAAATTAGGTTGTTTAAATTCCTTTTTTATAAGAAGGAAATTCTTGCTGTTGTGTGACAAATACTAAAAAGCATTAGTAAAAAGGTGAATGTTAAAAGATTTATTTAAAATCAAAATGAATATTTTTAGCATTTGAATGAATAAATGAGAGCTGAATTTTATAGTTCACTGACCCGTACTTTCCTAAGGTAAGGACCTATTTTGATATGGCAACCTTATTTATTTAGGGTTTTAGCCAAGATTATTGCCATGCTATTGAGACAGGGTGGGTAATGAAGCTATTAAAATGTGCATGTAGAAGCTCAGGTATAATTTGTGTGTCTGTTTACTTGAGGGAGGCGGAGGGCAGTTTTATTCAAAGAGTATCTGTATGTATTGAAGATGAAAAGTATATGCTGAATAACCCCTGTGGAAGGAAATTAACTGTTTGTTTTGCAGGGCAGGGTGTCAGTCATATACACTGCCTCAATTCAGTGAGTGGGTCTTCTGTTGCTCCGGCCTTCTTTCCTGTCTCTGTTCTGTGCACAGAGTTCATAGAATAGAGTCTCAGAAAAGTGGAGTGGCCTATTCTGAAAAGACAGAGGAGGGTAGCACCAGTTCATCACCCTGGGAATGCTCCTAATCCTCAGACAGGGCTGAGTTTAGGTGTTACCTGATGACATCTTTCCCAACCTTCTTCCTTATGTTCTGGAAATATATGTATATATTTGGCCTTCTGAGTTTACACTTTGCATAATCTTCTACTATATCATATATTACATGATATCATATTAACCCCATATGTGTAAGTCTTCCTAACACGCTGAGTTTCTCCTAGTCAACTCTGTATCTGTACATCTAACACAGAGCCTGGTCAACAGTGGATGCTAGCTGAATTCGTACTATTATTCAGAATAAATAAGCTAATTCAGCTGCTATTCACCACCCACCTCCCTGGGAGGGACTGAAAGTGTACAAAGTCCAGCCAAGGTTCAGATGGGATGATCCTAGCTTTTTCTTTGGACTGTCAAGATTGAGAAGGTGCAGACACTATGCATAATGGTTTTTAAAGACTGTTGAGAATTTCAAATGCCCCTTCTTCTCAACAATAGTTCCTTTCCCAAACTCTCAATTCGGCTTTATATTTTCTTCTGTGGTGGAGCTTTTAAGTTCATTTCTTCACCCTTCTCTCCTCTTCCCAATAAGCACCACCATTGATTTGAAAATTACGTTTGTCCTGCTGGTCCTGAGCTGCTTCACATGTGTTGTTTGGGTCTCCCCTTGCTCAAGGATTCCTCTAGGGGCTGTGGGTGTAGAGGTGTGTGTATGGAACTTTCTCCAGTGTAATTAGATTTACACCTGACCCCGCAAAACAATAAACAAGGGTGTGTGTGTGTCTGTGTGTGTGTGTGTGCGCACGCGCACGCGTAGTGTGAAGGAAGAGTGAGGGTATAGAAAAAAGATTGGAGAAGTTAGAGGGAGTCTTAAAGAGGAACATGAGTTTTATGGTGGCTGAAAATTTCTTTGGCATTCTTTTCCAGGTTGACTTTGGATTTGCTAAGAAAATAGGATCTGGACAGAAAACATGGACATTCTGTGGGACCCCAGAGTATGTAGCTCCTGAAGTCATTCTCAACAAAGGCCATGACTTCAGTGTGGATTTTTGGTCCCTGGGAATCCTAGTGTATGAGCTCCTAACGGGCAAGTAAGTCCTCCAGATTGTGTTCAGCCTCTTCTTCATAGAAGTGCAAAAATAAGTAACTAATGATAAAAATATATATATATAATTTAAAGTTTAACATTTTGGAAATATGATGCCTTTTCCTCTTCACATTATTTCATATATAGTATTCTTTCTAGTTTATAATGTAGAAAAGATTCAGGACGGTAAAACAAAGGAGTACAGAACACTATGGTTTACTTAAAATGGCAAAGTCTATTATTATAGATAACATATTAAGTATGGGAAGGTTTTGATAATCCAAGATAAGAATAAGAAAAGGAATTGAAATTGTAGGCTATGTTATTGTTTCCATGTAAATATATATATATATGTATATATATATGTGTGTATATGTGTGTGTGTGTGTGTATATATATATATAGTAATTGAGATAATAGCAGTAATGTTTCAGTTAAATTCATTGATCAATTAAACTACATTTAGCTATGTTTTCTATCTTCCCTAGAAATCATTAATCAGAAACGCTAGGAGAAAGCAACATTACTGGAATTACATTTTATTCCCCTTGTCAACTGCTTTCTAGAGGTGCTAATTAACAGAGACATGACACAGCAGGGATTTTAGCAGTTAAAATTGAATTGTCATTCCTAAAGAGATTAAAGGGCTATGTTAATGAATCCAAGATTCCAAATATGCAGCATGCACACACACATATTTATATGCATTCAGGCACACCCACATACATATGTCAGCTATATGTAATATTAACTCAGATTTGTAAAGCTTCTTACAGTTTACAGAGCAGTTACAGGTGTATTATCTGGGTTAGTTTTCACAAGCTTGAGTGGGAAATTAAAGCAGAATTTTTTTATTTTTTATAATTAAAATATTTAGTATTATTAGTCTATGATTTAAATTTTATGGATTAGAATTCCAGGGCAGTGAGCTACCTGCCTAAGGTCAGGGATTTGATACGACATCTTCCAGTTCTAATGTGATGCATTTTCCCTACACACTTGTCAAGTAGTATAATGCATGGACATGGCCACCGGATTTGGATCAGTTCTCTTTCTAGTTTTTTACCTCCATTTTTTATTAACTGATTATAAACCTTTATAACCAAATGTTCTCAGTCTTAATTTCAGGGAGGATTTGCAAAATGGAATGGCGTGAGAAAATACTGGATCATTCCAGTATTAGTGGGAATTCAAGTCTCAACACATACTTTACAAACAGAACCTTCTTGAACTTTTTACACAACAAATTTCAGTGTTAAATTACCTTTGACTACATTCTACATCCTTGTCAACATGCATTGAGCAAACAGATGTGAAGGATTATTTTATATTATCTGTAATCAATCTCAAATATTCTTCACTTAAGATTTTGAAGAAAAGAAAAATGTACAGATAGTCATTCAGAGAGAAAGTTACTTAATGCTTGCAATGCAAGGAATTCTATTTCATGAATTTGTTTTCTCATCCCTGAAAAATTTGTTAGCTGTGTTTCTAAGAGGCACATGATTGTTCCTGTAGGTAACTAGAGAATGAATATCTTCATTTTCACCAGCTAGGATAAATTGCTAAAGGTGTAGGGAAATAAAATGAGGGAATAAGGAAAGGAAAAAAAAAAAAACCCAAACAATATCTTGGAGTTCCAAGGAGGCTTGAGCTGTCATAAAAAAGTTGAGGGTGGGAGGTGGGTGTGGGTAGGGCAGGGGAAAGTGGTGGCAGGAAAATGGAGACAACTGTACTTGGACAAGAATAAAAAAAATAAGTTTAAAGAAAGTTGAAACATTGTTTTTGTAAAGGTTTTCACAGTAGGGCACAAGAAAAGTTATTTTTCTTTTTTTAAATATATTTTATTGATTATGCTATTACAGTTGTCCCAAATGTTCCCCCTTTACTCTCCTCCACCTGGTACCCACATTCCCTCCAGCAATCCCCTGCCTCAGTTCTTGTCCATGGGTCATGTATATAAGTTCTTTGGCTACTCCTTTTCCTATACTGTTCTTAACATCCCCCTGTCTGTTCTGTACCTACCAATTTGTACTTCTTAATCCCTGCACTTTTTCTTCCATACTCCCCCTTCCCCCTCCCAACTGATAAACCTCCAGCTGATCTCCATATCTACGATTGTTTCTCATCTGCTTGTTTGCTTAGTTTATTTTTTGGATTGAATTGTTGATAGTTCTGAATTTATTGCTATTTTAATATTCATAGTTTTGATCTTCTTTTTCTTAAATAAGTCCCTTTATCATTTCATATAACAATGGCTTGATGATGATGAACTTCTTTAGCTTTACCTTGCCTGAGAAGCGCTTTATCTGCCCTTCCATTCTAAATGATAGTTTTGCTGGATAGAGTAAGTTGGTTGTAGGTCCTTGCTTTTCATCATTTTGAGTACTTCTTGCCAGCCCCTTCTAGCTTGCCAAGTTTCTTTTGAGAAATCAGCTGACAGTATTATGGAAACTCCTTTGTAGGTAACTATCTGCTTTTCTCTTGCTTCTTTTAAGATCCTCTCTTTATCTTTAAACTTTGGCATTTTAATTATGATGTGTCTTGGTGTGGTCCTCTTCGGATCCTGCTTGTTTGGGACTCTGTGCTTCCTGGAGTTGTATGTCGATTTGCTTCACCATTTTTAAATGCCCTGAATTCTAGAGTCAGAAGGTAAATGCAAATGAGAAAATAATTTAAAAACAAAACCAAAACAAAACACAATGTAGTTGTAAATATATAAGAGTCAAAAATATTATAACAATATTTTCTACCTCATTTCCTTCACAAACAAAACATAGGTTGTTGAAAAGTTAGTTCACTGACCTTATTACAAGTTTATTAATAAGAGTAGGGATTCTCAGTATCAAAAATGTCTCAAGCATGACCAAGAAACAATGCGTAGTTCATGAAAACCACCTTTATTTTTCAAATGTTAAAGGACACAAGAGAATAGATATTAAAGTGTTTTTAAAAACAAAGTATATGCAGTAAAATGTTATTTGAATTCAACTCCCAGTGCTTTCTTACTCATTTTAGGAACACTTTTCTTGAAATACTCTCTTCACAGGACTTCTCTTTCTCCATTTATTTTCCCACACTGGTGGCTCCATCTCTTTCTCTATTGCTCAGTCTTTCTCATCATCCTGACCTCTCATTATTGGGCCACTTGAGTTCCTGATCTTTGTTCCATCTACTCACTCCCTAGTTGATATCTTCAGGTTCCATGGTCATAAATACCTCCAGCCCTAACTTCTTCTACCAATGTGAGACTCATAAATTCAACTGCTTGCTTAGCATCTCTATTTCATGTTCAAAACATAACTCTTGATTCCTCATAAAACCGGCTCTGCACCCCTGCAGCCCCACCCTACTCCAGTCTTTCTTCTCTTAGTGTTAGCTCCATTCTGTAGGTCAAAACACTTGATCGTCATTCTTGAATTTTTTCTTTCTACCGTACACCACATTCACCTCATCAGCAAATCCTGTTGGTTTAACCGTCTAAATAAATCCAGAATTCAGCCACATCTCACTGCCTTCACCAGTACTGTCCTAATCTTGGCTACCAAACCTTTCTTCCTCCACTGCTGTCCCATTGCAGTTTATGCTCCATACATTAAAAGAAAAAAAAAAAAGCTTACTCTGGCTGCTGTAAATTAGATCATTTGACTCACAACACATTCCCAGGGCCTTACCATAGCCCACTAGATCTGTAAAATATTGTTAACACCTCGTACATCCCTTTCTCCTGCTTACTAACTCCACTAGCAACAATGTCATCCTCATTGCTCCAAGAAAAACCCAAGTCCGTTCCTCATCCATGGCCTTTATACTTGCTGTCTTGGAATCCTTTGACCACAGATGGTCATTCACTCCTTGTCTTCATTCATACTTCTGCTCCACTGTCTGTGAGAGAGGCTTCTTGTGTCTACTCTGTCTAAAAAAATATTATACCTCTCTCTGTCACTTTTCTGTCCCTCCCTTTATTTTTCTTTTTAGTAATTATCACCACCAGAAAAATTACTTGTATGTGTAAATATGTATGTGCATAATTTGTTAAGTGATGTGAAATTAAAAAAAAGATTTTTCTGCCATGTCTCCAGATTTGTCATAAAACAACTAATGAGAGAGAAGAGGGGTTGGAGGAGGAGGAGAAAGGGAGGAAAGGAGGGAGAGAGGAAGGGAAGAAGAAGGAACTTCACTGTTAATGTGTCTCAGACCCTCATCCTAGTGTTCTGTTTTGTTTTTTCTCTAGCCCACCCTTTTCTGGGATTGACCAAATGATGACCTACAATTTGATTCTCAAAGGAATTGAAAAAATGGATTTTCCCAGAAAAATAACAAGACGGCCTGAGGATTTGATTAGGAGACTTTGCAGGTGAGAATGACAGAAACCTCTTGTTCCTGGGGAAAGTGGGAAGGCTTTTTATTTCTGTTTTCACACATTTTAAATTAGGTATATGTTTACTTTTTTACTTTTATTTGTAGCTAAATTATATTTAAAGAAAAACCATTTTCTGTTTTGCAGTGTATGGTGGGAATTTGAGTTTAACTTGTGTTATAGAATCACAGTACCTACTTATAATATAAAAGAGATTTAAAATTTTCAGGCTACTTCAGGAATCATCTTTATCTGTTATAAAGCAAAATGGAAACACAAACCTTAGCTTAATAAAGGAGTAATTAATTTACAATCTTGTTATTCTGAGAGAAAATCAGTGGTGATGATAGTGTTACTTTGTGCCTTCTTTCAAGTTTCATTTTTTTAAAAAAGGTACTCCTCTGGATTTATCTTATTTTATTATTATTTTTATTGAGGTATAATTGACATGTTATATTAGTTTCACATATGCAATGCAATGATTTGTTATTTGTATACACTGCAGAATGATTATCACAATAAGTTTAGTGACCATCTGTCACCATACAAAATTACAAGAAAAGTTTTTTTTCTTATGATGAGAACTTTTAAGATATACTCTCTTGGCAGCTTTTAAATATGCACTGCAGTATTATTGACTATAGTCACCATGCTGTAAATTAGATCACCATAACTTATAATGGGAAGTGGGGACCTCTTGACCCCCTTCACCCACTTTGTCCACGTTCACTCTGTCTCGCTATCGACAACTACTGTTTTGTTCTCTAAATCTATGAGATCATTTTGTTTGTTCCTTTGTTTTCTTTTAGATTCCACATATAAGTGACATCCTATATTATTTGTCTTTCTTTATCAGACTTATTTCACTTAGCATAATACCTTCAGGGTCTATCCATGTTGTTGTAAATGATAACATTTCAAAGGTTTCATTTTTATGGTTGAGTAATGTGTGTGTGTGTGTGTGTGTGTGTGTGTGTGTGTGTGTGTGTACATCACATCACATCTTCTTTACTCATCCATTGATGGACACTTAGGCTGTTTTCATATTTTGGTTATTGTAAATAATATTGTAATGAACATAGAGGTGCGTATGTCTTTTCAAATTAGTGTTTTTACCTTCTTCAGGTAAGTACCCAGAAGTGGAATTGCTGAATCATATTATAATTCTAGTTTTAATAATAAACTCCATGCTGTTTTTCATAATGATTGCACCAATTTACATTTCTAACAACAATGTACAAGGGTTCCCTTTTTACTACATCCTCACCAACACTTGTTATTTGTTGAGTTTTTGATAATAGCGATTCTGACAAGTGTGAGCTATTGAGTTTTATGAATTCTTTATGTATTTTGGATATTAACTCCTTATCAGATATATGATTGGAAGATATTTTCTCCCATTTAGTTAGATGCCTTTTCATTTTGTTGCAGGTTTCCTTTTCTGTGAGAAAGCTTTTTAGTTTGATGTAGTTCCACTTACTTATTTTTGCTTTTGTTGTTTTTGTTTTTGGAGTCAGATCCAAAAAATCATTAGCAAAAGTAATGTCAGAGAGCTTACTTCTTATATACTTTTTAGGAGTTTTAGGATTTCAGGTCTTAGATTCAAGTCTTTAATACATTTTGAGTTATTTGTGTATATGTGTGTGTGTGGTGAGAGGTAGTAGTCTAGTTTTAGTTTTTTGCATGTGGCTGTCCAGTTTTCCCAAATGCACTTATTAAAGAGACTGCCCTTTCCCCTTGCCTCCTTTGTCATAAATTATCCATATATATATATACATGGGTATATTTCTGGGTTTTCTGTTCAGTTCTGTTGATCTATATGTCTTTTTTTATGCCAATATCACACTTTTGTCTACTATAGCTTTGTAGTATAGTTTGAAATTAGGGAGCGTGATGCCTCTAGTTTTGTTCTTTCTCAGGATTGCTTTGGCTATTTGGGGTCTTCTGTAGTTCCATAGAAATTTGAGGATTGTTTTTCTATTTCTGTAAAAACGCCTTTGGGATTTTGACAGGGATTGCATTGAGTCTGTAGACGGCTATGTGTAATGTAGACATTTTAACAATATTGATTTTTCTAATTCATGAGCACAGAATATCTTTTCATTTGTGTTTTATTTTATCAATGTCTTACAGTTTTCAGTGTACAGGTTTCATCTTCTTGATTAAACTTATTCCTAGGCAGTTTTATTCTATTTGATGCAATTGTAAATGGGATTTTCCTAATTTTTCTTTTTAATAGTTTTTTATTAATATAGAGAAACATAAAAATTTTTTAGTCTCTAGTTTATTTATTTCCATTCTAATCTTTATTTATGTTGATTTTGTACCTTTCAACTTTACTGAATTTGTTTATTAGTTCTAACACCTTTTTTTTGGTGAAGCCCTTAGGGTTTTCTGTATATAAAATTATGTCATCAGTGAATAGTGACAGTTTTACTTCTCCCTTTCCAATGTGGAGGTCTTTTTTTTCCTTGCTTAATTACTCTGGCTAGTACTATATTGAATAAAAGTGACAAGAGTGGACATCCTTTTCTTATTCCTTATCTTAGAGGAAAAATGTGAAGCTTTTCACCATTGAGTATGATGTTAGCTGTAGGCTTGCCACATATGGTCTTTAGTATGTTAAGGTACATTCTTTCTACGCTTACTTCTTTTGAGCATTTTTATCATAAAGGGATGTTGGATTCCATCAAATGCTTTTTCTGTATTGTTGAGATGATCATATGATTTTTATCCTTCATTTTCTTAATGTGGTGTTTCATATCGATTGATTTGCAGATGTTAAACCATCTTTGTATCACTAGAATAAATCCTACCTGATCATATTGTATGTTTTGTTTGCTAATACTTTGTTGAGGGTTCACATCTACGTTCATCAGGGATATTGGCCTACAATTTTTATGTATGTGTATCCTTGTCTGGTTTTGGTAACAAAGTAATGCTGGCCTCAAAAAATGAGTTTGGAAGCATTTCCTTCTCTTCAGTTTATTGAGAGAGTTTGAGATGTATAAGTATTACATCATTTTAAATGTTTGGTAAAATTCACCTTTGAAGCCACTTCTGGCCCTGGAATTTTGTTTGTTGGGAGATTTTGAGTACTGATTCAATCTTCTTTCTAATAATCAGTTTATTCAGATTTTCTGTTTTTTCATGATTCAGTCGTAGAATATTATGTTTCAAGGAATTTGTTTCTTCTAGATATCCAGTTTGTCAGTGTATAATTATTCATAGCGATCTCTTAAGATACTTTGCATTTCTGTGGTATCATTTGTAGCTTCTCTTTCCATTTCTGATTTTATTTATTTGAGTTTTTTTTCTTTTTACCTTGGTGAGTCTAACTAAAGATTTATCAACTTCATCTTTTCATAAGACCAGCACTTAGTTTTGTTGATCTTTTCTATTATCCTTTTAGTCTCTGTTTCATTTGTGGGGTTTTTTATGGGGGGTTTGCTCTGATCTTTATTGTTTCCTTCTTCCTACTAACTTTTGGCTTTGTTCTTCTTTTGATAGTTCTTTTAGGTATAAAGTTAGATTATTTATTTGGGATTTTTTGTTTCTTGAGGTAGGTCTGTATCTCTATGATCTTTCCTCTTAGAACTGATGTTCCTGCATCCTGTAGATTTTAGTAAGTTGTACTTCTATTTTATTTTGTCTTGAGCTATTTTTTGATTTCTACTTTAATTTCTTCATTGACCCATTGGTTGTTCAATAGTATGTTGTTTAATTTCCACATATTTATGATTTTTCCACTTTTCTTCTTGTACCTGATTTCTAGTTTCATACCATTGTGGTCAGAAAAGGTGCTTGATATGATTTCAGTCTTCTCTAAATTTATTGAGACTTGTTTTGTGCCCTAACATATATTCTATCCTGTAGAATGTTCCATGTGCACTTGGGAATAATGTGTATTCTGCTGCTCTTGGATAGAATTTTCTGTATATATCTATTAATTCTATCTGGTCTAATATGTCCCCTGTGTGGACTACACTTGCCTGCTGGTTTTAGCAAGTAGTGGGAGAGTGTGGGGCCAAGGTGCACCTGTTGGATTTTGTGTGGCTTCAGGAGAGCTCTGGGGTGGGGCATGCTTGCTGGCATTATCAAGGTAGAGGAAGAGTGCAAAAATGGCACCTGCCAGCACCTCTACCCAGGAGAGAGTCTCAACAGGTCTCTGCATCACCCGCAGATACTTTAAGAGTAGCAAATGAATTTCCTTTATATATTATAGCCTATGCACTTTTCACACTGCTACTTCTGTACTGGTCCCTGGGATAAATGAGTCTGTGTGCCAGCCCTTAACAGAAATATCTCAGCTTTCTATAGCCATGTAAGTCTCCTAAATGTGAGCCTGGTTAGTTTTCAGAGCTAGATATTTTGGGGGCTTATCTCTCTGTTGAGGCTCCCAAGGGATGGGGTGACCAATGTTGGGTATGAACCCCTTACTCCTCAGGGGGAAGATTTGGATTTGTGATCACTCCTGATTTTTGGTTGCCACATTAGGGCCAGAGTTTTTGGTGACACTGTGTCTCTGCCTCTCTTACCTGCCTTGATGTGACCCTTTTACCATTTGTTTACCATTTGTTGAGAGCTGTTCAGATAATTTTCAGGTCTTTTTCAGAGAGAATTATTCCATATGTAGTTGTAGATTTGATGCATTCATGGGAAGAGATGAGTTCAGGATCTTCCTACACTGCCATCTTGGACCATGCCTCAGTCTTATTTTAAATTACTCCAAATTTCTATTTACCTTTACAAACAGTTTATTGGAGAACAGAAGAATTATCTAATTTTGTTTGAACTGTACTTTGTTGCTTTTCACACATTTGAACTTTTTTTTAAAGCATTAAAGTTTTGTAACTATAGAACATGAAACCTAGCTGTGAGTTCCCAACAGAAATTTATGAGTGCTTACAGGTGAGATGTAAATGATATCCTACAGCTTTCTCTGAGTCTCTCAGCAGAGTTTGTAAGATAGCCCCCTACTATTCTTTTACATATTTATTTCTAGTGCATCTAAAGCACTATAAGGTGTATAGATATAGATAGAAATAGAGATGTATATAGTTACAGATATAGTTATAGATATAGCTGTAGGTTTATTCTTAACTCTAATTTGACTGTGGCTTCCCTAGAAAGGGACATGCATTTTTATCTCCCTCACTTAAATCTGTGAATATTATGGAATAAATGAATGAGTGAATGAATAAATACATGTTAAATTTTAATTTGAAATTGACTCAAGCATAATTATTATAAACTGTCTTTTAAAAATTTTAATCATTTTAGGCAAAATCCAACAGAAAGGCTGGGAAATCTGAAGAATGGAATCAATGACATTAAGAAACACAGGTACATGGTTACTTCTTTGCCCAGAAATATATAGAAATTTATAGAAAATGGTGGTAATCTTGAAGCATGAAGTAAACCAAAGGGATTTCTTTACAGACTCTCAGTTTTTCCTTTTTGGTGCTTTTTATTTAATTTGTGTTTTACTAGATTCAGTCACAATAATCAATCTCAAAATAACTTCTCTAATGCTGGAAACTCCTATCAAGAATGAATGAAGTTTAAAACAAATTATAAAATAACATTTTCAAGTTATAACAACTTAATTTTTATCAACTGCTACCTTAATTATTAGTTTTAAATATCAACTTAGAGTCTATAAATTAATTGTTCTAATTTTCACATGATTTGTGATAAAGTAGAATATAGTTATTGTTATAAATATTCAAGAGAATGGCTCAGCTAAATTAACCACTAAATAGTATTGCATTTCAGTTTTTATTACTATTATACATTAATTTTAAATATAATTTTTCTTTGACTAGTATTTCAAATACTGAAGCCTCATGTTGTATTTTACTTTTTTGGGCAAGGTACATTGATTTCCACAAAAGCCTCAGACAATGTTTTGTCCTTATGCAGTAATCTAACATGGACCTTTTCAGTTCTGTGAATTTCTAAATGTCATTTAGAACCATAGATAGCTTCCATAAGATATTCTTTCTTAATTGGTTCCATATATGGAAGTGAAAGCCTTCAAGATTGTTTTTTCAAATCAATGGCTAGCTTAATCCTACAATCCTCAAGATGTTTTAATTTTGCTTACAGATATATCACCTATTGCTAGTACAAAAAAAGAAATGTGAGAATTTCATTATTGAAAACCTTTGAGCACATTGACATGTTCACTTTCGGAAATGAAAACACCTCTCAAAGTTGCATTCCTCTCTGGATATTTTTATTGAAGAATTAAGGGCACATCAATAGAGTGTGAAAATAAAGGGAGAGATGCTGCTGGATAGAAACATTGCTCCTTTCCTTAACATTAGTAGTGCAGCTGCCAACCCTGCTCTATCTATTCATGAACTTTCTTGAAAGAAAGCTATGTATTCAACATTGTAAATTCATAGAGGGCTCTGCCTTAAAAGTGTATTAAGGAATGAGAGAGGGAGGGAGGGGAAGGGGGAAGGAGACAGAGACATCTGTGTTTAGAGTATTTTATTGTTCTTTGTCATCTTTTGGATTGCCTTCAGTGTAAAGTTTATTACTTGTCTTAGGTTCCAGTTTATCTTTCTTCCTACAAGCTGTTATCACAATTTCATATCTCATTATAACATGACTCATAAACATACCATTCACATGGAGCAAACAAGTGTCCTGTCAATTAAAGTTACCCTTTTAATATATTTTCTGCATTTATTTCATTGTAAACTTCATGTTTTTCTTTGGGGTAATTGGGAAATAGAGTGATATAATTGTTAATTGACTCCAGTTTTATTTTGTACTTCTTATTTACCTGAGGCTCATTTAAATGTAGCTGTCAAATTGTGATTGGATGCACATGCAAATTGATACCAGAGAATTTTCTCACCTCAGCATGGTAATGAAGAATTTCGAGCTTTCTTCTCTGCAGGGATTAATTTGCCCACGCTTTTGAACACAAGATGTTTTTTGCCATGTATCTGGATAGTCAGATTACAATGTGTAGGGTAGAGGTCACTAATAAGATGTGCCAGATTTACACAGTCCCTTATGGTGAGTTCATAGTGGTCAAAAAGAGTGTTTTATTCTATTTTAATAGTGTTTTTAAGATAAAAAGTTGGCACAGAAAGGCCTGAAAAATAGATCTCTCTCTCTCCGCCTTCAAATAAGAGTATTTTAAAATCTTCCACAACTCCCCAAAGTTTATAGCTATCTAGCCAGTATGCTCTTGGACTTTAAAAAAAAAAAAAAAAACCTAAAAAATTGGCCATCAAATTTTCCTATTGTTCTCTAAAAATATTTTATTTTTCTTAGAGAACTATTCACTTTAACTTTGTATTTAAAAACAATACAGTAACACATAGAATATTGTTATATGTTTGCCCATTCTGTTTAAATCATCTTTCCTAAAAATAGAATTCCTTCCTTCCCTATTTATGAGCTAACCTACAAACTAGGCACCAATTATGTCTCCCAACATCTTTCTGAAAAAAGAGGAGATAATATACTTGTAGGATACAATTAAATCTTTCCTGCTAGGTAGAGGAATAATTTTTTTTGAGTGTCTTCACATTACCTTTAATATTTCTGGTCTCTAAAATTACTTTCAAGAATAGCTTCCACAAGTCTTCTAAAAATGAAGAAGCAATTTATGTGCTGTTGCTGCTAATATTTCTTTGGTGAATATTTTTTACACATGAGTGCATGCTGGCATTTGCATTGCTTAAAATGTGGTTAGTGTCAAAAGGCCAAGTGTTAGTGAATAGCCACTCATGTTAAGTAAATATTGCCATAAGTCAAGTTGTAACAAGTACTCAGCAAGAAATGCATAGGCTCTTTGATTCAGTAGAGTAACAGTAATGATTTTTATTAATATTTATGGAGTAGCTTCTGGGAAGAGAGCATTGTAAAATATGTTAAAAAGGAATTGTGGCAGTGTTTGGTGTCAAAGGAGAAGAATCCACAGCACTGTGAGCCTAGACATCCCTAAAAATGGAGCGCCAGCCTGTGCGAAGAGGGTGATGGGTGGATCAAGGAGAGGACCTCTGTGGCTTTGTAGCAAGGAGAGGGGAAGCTGTACTGCTGGGGTTGCTGTCCGACTTCCACTCTTTGTCTAGTGTCTCAGTAGCTTGTACCAAAATGGCATTTTGGGTTGAGAATGAAACCTGAAATGGAATGTACTAGAACCAGCCCTCTCTGTTTTTTGTACTTTTTCTCTTGCTAAGCTTAGACTTGGAATGGGAAATCCAGTCAAGGACCAAACCAAACCCAACAGCCGGGCTGAAAGCGATTGAGAAGGGTGGGAGAGTATAATTTCTGGTGTGGCCAACAGACAGGAATGTGACAGCCTTCCAAGGCATCCCTGCCTTCAGTCTCACAGCCCCACCACGCTCCGGCCCGTGCTGTCCTCTACTTCCATTCTCCACCTAACAGCCAGAATTATCTTTTGAAAACATCTAGATTGCATTACTTACTTATAATTTTCTAATGGCTTCCCATTTTGCATAAAACCCTGTTTCCTTACTGTGTCCTATAAGGCCTTACATGAACTGGCCTCCGGCCATTTTTCGGACGCATTTTTTTTTTTCCTGCTTCCCCTGCATTCACCACACTAAAGCTCATTCCTTTCATTTCAATCCACTTGGATGCCTCTTGCCACTGATATTCCCATGGCTTCCTTCTTTTCATTTTGGCCTTAATTGAAATATCCTTTCTTCAAATACCACCCTCACTAAAAAGAGCTCCCTTCAACCCATCTTCATCCCAGTCATTATCTACTGCTTTATTCTTTTCAGTCTTATACTTAGTATCTGAAATTAACTTAAATATTTATATTGGGGTTTTTTTTCCTGTCACCTTTCACCAAAATAAAAATAGCCTAAAAGCAAGGGGGGTTTTTTGGGTTTGGTTTTTTTTTAAGTCTGAGACAAAATTGACTTTTTACAAATGTTTGCTGGCTGCCTGACCTGACATCTGTGTCCCAACAGAAAAGATCAGAGGCTGTAGAATAGTATCATTCCATGTTCCTTATAAGAGTCTGAGAGACCAAGTATATTGTGTTTGAGTGTTGTGTTTCCAGTCCACCAAGCTCTACGTGTATCCTGAAGATCAGAGCAGCTCTTTGAGATTAATGATGCAGAAGCAATAAATTAAAGAACTTCATCTGGCCATAAGGGTAATCCCGTTAACAGATTACTGAAAAGGACTTTTTAAAAAAACTCTTGGAGCCTTTTAGATCCATGTGACCAGGAGTGTCACCACCATGGTGCGATGTTGCTACAGTGAGAAGGCCTGCGTGTGTTCTTTTACAGAGTCATTCAGTTATTCAGAAGATGTGTATTGAGCCCCTGTTCTATGTCAAGTTTTAGGGACACAGAAGAAAAGAAGCAGACAAAACCCATTGCCTTACGGAGCTTGCATTCCAGTGGGAAAGATAGAAAACAAACAACATAAGTGTACAGTAGATACATTAAATAGAAGTAAGTGCTGAGGTGAGAGAGTAAAGCAGAGGAAGAGGGTAGAAAATAATGTGGAGGGCAGGATGGGACAGGGCTCACAGTGTTAGACTGGGTGGCCAAAGATGGCCTTGCTGAGAAGATGACCTTTGAGAAAAGACCGGAAGGTGTTGAGGGAACAAACCATGTGGAAATACGGGGGGAAAACAGTCTAGCAAGAGAGTCTTGAGTGCAAAGGTGTTAAATTATTGGAACAATGGTGAGGAGATGAATGAGCAAGGAAGAGAGAAGACAAACACAGGGCAGTGCTAAGGAGAGAGGTGGGTGGTAGTGGAAAGGGTGATTTTGTAAGGCCTTATGGCTTATAGGATAGACATGGTGGACACTTTGCCTATTATACTGAGCAAATGGGACTTATTGGAGAGTTTTGAAAAAAAGCATGATGAGACCTGACTTATGTTTTAAATGATCACTCTTGCTACTGGGTTGTTTCCCACAGAGAAAAGTGGGAAGACCCATTAAATTATTGTAATAATATGGGCAAAGGATAAAAGTGGGTTGGCCTGTGCAGGTATTGTAATGGGAAGGTGTTGAGAACTTGTCATATTCTGAATAAAGGCATATTTTACAGGTAACACTGACAAGATTTGCTTATGGACTGAGGTACGGTGTGAGGAAAAGGAATCCAAGGTCTTTGGTTTAAGCAATTGGAAGAGTTAAGGCAAATTTCTTGGGGAAAATTTAAAGCTCCAGTGTGGACCCTGCAGATGTCTAGTGGACATCCACTTGGGAGATAACGAATAGCACTTGTAGCTGATAGACTATAAAGCAATGGAGAAGTGTTGGTCGGAAATAGAAATCTGGCAGTAACCAGTATGATAATACTATTAAAAGCCACAAGACTGAAAGAGATTACCTCAGAAATATTGAAAAAAGAAGAGGTCTAAGGACTGAGCCCTGGATCACACCACCTTCCTATTGAAACAGCAGTGGGAAATGTACCCAAGAAGCTAAGAAGGAAGACGGGACAGCAGCATGTCCCAGAAGCCAAGTGAAGAATGGTTTCAGGGACTGCGAGTGGTGAACCACAGCAAATACTTCTAACAAGCTAAGATGTAAACTGAGAACTACCATGATTCAATGGCGTGGGGAGGGTGAAACCTAATTGTAGTGTGGTCAGGAGAAAATGGTAAATAGAGTGATTAGATAACTCTTTCAAGGAGTTTTCCTCCAGTGGAAGTAGAGAAGTGGAGTGATAGTTGGAAGGGAGCTCGGGTCAAAGGAAAGTGTTTTGTAGCTGGAAGCAATACAGTGTTTGCATGCTTCCGAGAATGATCCAGCAGAGAAGATGTCGAAAATTCAGGAGCATGCAGAAGCATGACTTTGAATAGAAAAGAATCTACAGGATCAAGTATCCAGTAAAGGACCTTAGCTGGAAGCAAAGGCAGTTTATGGTACTGGAGAGAAAGAAACATACGGTTGTGAGTAGGCAGATAGGCAGGTATGGTGGTGGAAGATTGTGGAAGTTCCCTTTTGCTTCAGCTTTCTCCGTGAAAAAGGAAGCTGGGTTATCATTTGGGAGTGAGGATGGGGAGGAAGCTCTGGAAGTTTGAAGAGAGAAGATGAAGTATGAATTATGAATTTAACAGGTATAACAATGAACAGAACAACAGGGAAACCTAGCCTGATTACTGGGCAGCAGTAAGTGCTCCCTGAGGTTAGTAGTGGGCATGAATTTATTGCGAGACCAGACGACTAGCACAGTCTTCTGTTTTCCTTTGACCATTTTTCTTTCAGGGAGCAGACAACAAAATGGATTGACAGGTAGATAACTGACATGCTAATCATTTTCAGGCAAGTAATGTTTCTCTGTACTTTTCTCATTTCTCAGGTGGTTAAATGGTTTTAATTGGGAGGGACTGAAAGCTCGGAACCTTCCATCACCTTTACGAAGAGAGGTATGGTATCTACTATATTACTCTCATCATTTTTTTGTGGGTATTCATTTTTGTAAACAGATTTTAAAGATGTATATATGTGTAACAGGTTTTAGATTTTTAAAATAGTTTTTTAAAAAATAAGTTAAAATAGCGTAACAGTTGTGATTACTGGGACTAAATGGTATTTCCTATTTGGTGGCTATTAGCTCAGCTCTCAGGAATCAGTTACATATAAACCTAAGATCCCAAGGCTGGCAGATAACTCTAGAAATATACCGTGAACCATATTCAGGGGTGTCCAACCCATGGCCCGTGGGCCACATGTGGCCCAGAATGGCTATGAATGTGGACCAACACAAAATGAAACATTTACTTAAAACATGAGATTTTTTTGTTTGTTTTCATTAGTGTTTCTGTATTTAATGAGGCCCAAGACAACTCTTCTTCTTCTAGTGTGGCCCAGAGATACCAAAAGTTTGGACACCACTGAATTTGAAATTTTCTAGTAGTCACATTAAAAGAGGTAAAAATAAATAGGTGAAATTAATTTTAATTTTCAAAATATTACCACTTCAATATATAATCAACATAGAATATTAATGAGTTGTCATTGTTATTTTTTCATACTAAGTTTTCCCAATCCCAGGTGGTTACACTTTCAGCACGTCAGTTCAGACTAGCTACATTTCAAGTTCTCAGTCACCCCATGTGGCTGGTTGGACAGACTGTCTAGGGAAAGCTGAACATTTGCTAACCTAGGGGGATGAATGACTCAGGAACGACCTGGATCAACACCCTGCAAACATCACACTGTGTTTTCGCTAGAGGATTTTAAAGATCTACATCTCTCCTTGTATATTTTTAGATTGACATTTGAATTTTTTCATTGTGCATTTAAACTGTTGTGGGGAATGTAATTCCTAGTATGTGGAAAATATTGACATTTTAAAGTAAAACACTACTGTTACTTTACTCCTTTAAATATTTCCAATGTAATGTAAGTATCATTGAGATTTGATACCAATCAGACATTAAAAAATACAGACAGAAATATTACATCATTCCTTTTTCTCTCTGAATTCAAATTTCCATATTTCCATCCCATTTTCCCTTCACAATTTCATTCTAATATAAAATATTTTTATGCTTGGCAATCTCTAATCGATTGTTTCTTAAATGCCTTTCAATTATAGTTTTATAAATTTTAAAATTCCTGTGACAACATAATTTCTTTGGCAACACAAATATTTCTTCTGGAATTCAGTTATAATTACATTTTTATAGCATACTGTATCAAACAGCATAAATATATTATAAACTTTTGAAGTGGCTATTAAATAATTTTTATAAATAAAATATTTAATGTGCCTGTGGATAAATTTTATTTATTTAGAAATGAACTCAGACTCCACATCAATTTTATTCATTTTTAAAATTTTGTAGATACAAGTGGTAAGAGTTATGTTCACATAAATAAATACCTGGGAGTGGAGGGTTTTATAATAGCAATGTCACTTTGAACACCTTTGAATGATCTCACCCTCCCCAAAACACCTTGTGATCTGTCATAAATAGTATTTTTAATCATCTATTAGCTGATAATTCAATTAGCTACTTCTTACATTTGCTGGAAAGTAAAGAACTGGAAACCACCTAATTTGCAGAAGTCATTTCACCCTTTCAAGCGTGTCAGTAATATTTTGAATTGATCCTTTGTTTGGCATTCTGAAAATTTTATATGGTGAGTTAACCATATAAAAATTCAAAGTTGGTAAGAAATTTTATCAGGTGGAAGGAGAATTCTGGTAAATTTTGATTTTTTTAAAGTATCTGCTTGTCACTTTTTCTTTTTGAAATAACTCTAAAGGCTATGTAGCTTCCATTGCACATAATCCAGTGGCCTGATCCATTTGATCCAAAGGGGAGACCTCATGAGTTTGTGACTCAACAATGACAATTGGTCATCTTTTGCTTATATGTAACTTACATTACTTGCAGTTTAATGTCTGTGTTCAGATATGGAAAGCACTACCCATATGCACTAGCATGCTTAGTCAACATCATCCTCACCTTTGCTTTAATCCTTTCTCCATTAGCTCAGTGGCCCCACAGACCACAGCTACTTTGACAAGTATCCTCCTGAAAAGGGAGTGCCTCCTGATGAGCTGTCAGGCTGGGATAAAGACTTCTGACAGAAAAACAAACAAACAAAGAAAAAAGATGAATACTGCCTATCTACTACAGAAGAGGACTCTGAGCACCAGTAATCCAGTACTGATTATTTCTCTCTTTGGAGTATTATGATATCTTTTGGAAGACCATTGGGAAAAGAAATCCCTGCCTGTGAGCTGGGGTGGATGATAGTGGGTACAGAGATGGTTCTGAATTATAATGTCTTATTTAGATGCTGTGAGTTATTCATGTATTCTGTTTTTTGTTTTTCTCAAATGTTGAAGACTGTTCTATTCTCTCCACAGTCAGAACCATTTTTGTTGAGGAGGCATAGTGTTCTCTGCAATCTGTTGCTCTGTCCTGATCTCATTCATCTCCTTTAAGTCCTAATAAGGTTTAAAAGTGTTGCCCTTGAGCAACTAAGTCATGCAAATGGTATCAAGAACAAGAGTGAATTTTGGAAGATTTTGCCCACTCTCAACAACTTCATGTATGCATTATAGCATCTATATTTAGTGGTTTGCAGAGATCTTGGTAGTCAAAAGAGGCTCTTGACTTTTACTTGCATTCGACCTGGAAATGTATTCATGTGCTTCTGATAATAGTCTGGGGATAGACAAGTTTGAGTATTTAGTTGGTGGTGCTGCTCCCTAAAATAAATAAGTTCATTCATTGAACAAGGTAAATATAGTCTACTGGGAAACTTAAAAAGTAAGCAAAGCAAAAGGTGTTTTTTGTTCTGTGACCAGCTGTGATAACTCAGACTTTCCAAAGCTTTGTTAAAGATGGTTTTAGTGTGCAGCTATGTGACAGGCTTTTGAAAAGGTTTTATCTTATAGACTAAGTATTTTTACAATCAAAGTGGAAATCATTCAAGAACAAAATTGTGAAGGCTTTTCCTTCCCATTAAATGTAGAGGAGAGTGAAATCTGATAGGTAAGGTTGCTGACTCTTTGAAACTCAGATATTTTGTCCATTTTTGTGACTGTTGCTATTAATAAACAAAGAGTATAGACTAACCACAATTAATTTTTAATGAAGATGCCATTGGTAAATGTTGATGCGCTGTAATCACTGTTGATATCGGAGTCATGATGTGTTTATAATTTTAGATTCTTACGGCAGGCAAGGTGCTGGAGAATGCTGGGACTTTAGAAATGAGAGTGTCGTCTAGCTTCTCCTCTCCTCCCCTCTGCTCCTTGTGGTCTTCCAAATAACTGGGAGAGTAGTTCCAATAGCTTTAGATGGCAGTACCTAAGAACTTCACTAGGAAATGTTTCTGTGTATCACCCAGGATCACTTCCTCACCTTCCTTCCAAAACAGATAGGAAGCAGACTTTCTCTGTATCTTTTTGATGTAGCAGAGTAAAAATACCATTAAGTTAGTGCACTACTCACACTTCTGACTATATTTTCATATACAGATGTCCTATAGGAATAGCAGCTTCTACCCACACCCCACCCATATTTTCTCCATTCAGAGAAAGTCAGCTACATGCTTCCTAAAAAGTTAAACCAGGTAAAAGAAGCCCAATCCAAGAAGGTGCATCCTTAACAAATTGAATTTCCACATTTAGAATCCTTTTGCTGAACCAAAGAAATTTTGTTTCCTGGAGTAGTATTTTTAAAGATTGTGTATTGTACATAGAAAAACCATTTTTAATAGGATAAACATAACCTGCTTAATGAATTTCTAAGGTTTTTAAAAGATTTTTATTTGCATTTGGTTTGTAAGCACTGTATGTTTTTCCATGTATATATTTTTAAATTACTCACCAAAATGTAGGTAATTTATGTATTGGGTTGATACTAAAATTGTACAGTTAAAATAGCAATGATATTCTCAATGGAGATCAAGAGTTGTAATTCAAGAAAGACCTGCATATATACAAATAAAAACCGACTTAGTTTACTACAGGTATTTTGCCTGTCACTGGCCATATCAGTATGTAATATTCACCTGTGATTTTATTATATTTCTTTAGAATATTTTAAAAACATGAAGAGATGAGAGCTTGAACCACCATATAATCCCAATTTCACTATTTCCTACCTGGGTGACCTTGGTAAAATGACTTTATTCCTTTAAGTAGTAGCTGCCTCACTTATAGAAAAAGGCACACACAATAAAGTAATACCTACTTCAGAGCCCTGTTTGGGGAATTAAATAAGCTGTCTCGAACGTTCTTTGCTGATACCTGTGAAATAATCAATACTAAGATGGGAGTTACTGTTACTATCTCTATTAGAATTAAAAGGGCCTTAATAACCATTTAGTCCTGAAACTTATGTATCATTTGTATCTGTATGCACAATTGTATCAATTAAATCCATTATTTACCTTTTCTTTCTCTTTTAAATCATGAAGTAAAAGTGGTTGATCAAGCTCTAGTGCATATGTTGAAGAGTTAACCCTTACCGAAATTAAGTGCTTTATTAAGAGCTCACTCAATATCTAAATTTAATTTTTTTTATGAATTAAGGATATATATTCCATTTCTTAGGACATACAGAAAATGATCCTACTATCTACAAACTTATTATATTCCTAATTGTTAAATCTCTCTTAATCTTGCTTTTCTAGGTGCAAAGTTAATTTTTTATGCTTGATCCTCTCCTCTGTGGGGCCAGCTTTCATAACTGTAGTTTTTTAATCTTTTCTCTAAATTTAAAATGTCTGCAGGGAAGAGAATGTAGTGGTGAAAAGAGATCGGGCAACAGAAAGATCTGAGTTTGAATTCTAGCTTTGTTCAGATTTGCGTGTCTTTAAAAAACAAAACACATCTTTATTCATCTGTCACTTAGAGATGCACAAGGAAAGCTTTTAAACATTGGCCAGCATCTAATTACTTGTAGGTCACTGAAAGTAACCATTTGGAAATAGACACATACATTTATTTCTTTTGGCATAAAAATAAATCCATGCTTTTTATTGCCAAGCATTGTACTAGGAATATTTATATGTATTATCTCATTTGCATAAGATTCTAAAATAATTATAAACACACTGACCCTTGACTGCTCTCAAAGCTAAATATAGACCGCAAATACACATTTCATTCACAATTTAACTGTGATGGTTTTACATGGCTCAGTTCCACTTACTATGACTATGTCACAAATTGCCCCACAACTTAGTCACTTAGAACAATCATTTTATTGTTCCTCTAAATTCTCTGGATCAGGAATTTGAACAGCACATGGCAAGGATGACTTATCTCTATGCCTGAGTATCTGGGGCATCAGGGGGAAAGACTCAAAAGACTGGGTTACTCAATGGCGGGGAGCTAGAATCACCTGACGGCTTGTTTACCCACATATCTGGAGCCCAGGCTGGGGCTATTCAACGACTGGAACAGCCAGCACAGGGCGCCTATGCATGTCCTTTCCTTGGCTAAGATTCCCCCCATTATGGCGTCCTTAATCCAGTCAGTACTATCCTTTATGATTCTGGCTTGGAGTCATCTAAAATCACTTCCATCATACTCTGTTGGTGGAAACACAAGCCCATCCAGATTTGAGGAGAGGGAATAGAGGCTCCATTTGTTAATGAAGGAAGTTTCAAAGAATTAGCAAGCAAGTCTTAAAAACTGCCATGGCTCACTTTCTGGACACTGATTACTTATGTCACTGCCATATGCAAAATAAATTCATTCCCTTTATAAAACCTCCCTAAAAATATATTCTCATTGTAACATCAGAGTCCAGGAACTTGCCATATTAATCCCTTCAGGTGTGGATGACGCTTCTCAGGTGTAATTCCCTGGATATATTATTTTATGTCTGGAAGCCTGTGAATGAAGTTAACAAGTCACCTATCCTCACACTCACAGCGTTGAATAGGGAGACAAAGGATAACCACAGAAGATCCTTGCATTCAGTGAGGGGGAGATGGGAGGCACATAGTAGTCACTGGTCCACAAAATTCTAAAATTGGGTGTGATACATGGTTACCATTTCTACTCCCTGTGAGTTATTCTCCATAGCTCTTAACTCCACATTGTAGAGTCTGGGTTCTGCCCTCTGAATCATTGTTACGTTTTTCTAAGATGCGGATGGTATTTACAACTGAGTAGACTTCTTAGTCTGTTTTCTGTCTGTGAACATTTGGTGGTAGATATGTCTCTTTTCTATCTCTGTCCCTTTATGCCAAGCTGATACATTTCCTGAAAAAACTTTGTGAGCTTCCTGTGTATGAATTCATGATTCCCTTCATTAGACAAAAGCTATACTCACAAATCTTTTCTGTGATTTTGATGTGGGAAAAACGATTCTTAGACATTTTATTTTTTTTAAAAGAGAGGGTATGCGTAGCACATGCTTAAGATGCTCAGAAGGGCTTCGGCCTTTTAGGAAGGATGTAGTAAGCTTCCATGATTCCTGGTTATGGTATTCATTCCCTTTTATAATCTCCTGTCCTTTGAGGGTTGACTGAACCTAATGACTTCCTTCAAACACACAGAATATAATAAAAGTGATGTGATGTCCTTTCTGAAACTAGGTTACAAAGTTATCTGCCTCTGTCTTACTTGCCCTTCTTGCTCTCTCATTTGCTTGCTCTGATGGGAGCCAGCTTGCCATGATATGACGTCTCTAATGGAGAGGCCCATGCGGCAAATATCTGAGGGAGCCTCTGGCCAACAGCCAGTGAGGAAATGAGGCCCTTGGTCCCACGACATGGGATGCGCTGAATCCTGCCAACAACCACAGGAGGGAACTTGGAAGCAGATCCTCCGCCAGTCGGGCCTCCAGGTGAGACTGGAGCCCTGGCCAACACCTGGAATGAGAGGCCATGAGCCACAGGAGCCAGATAAACAACTCCCAAGTTCCCGACTCACAGAAGCCATGAGACAAGACGTTGTTTAAAATTACCAAGTTGGGAAGGAAAGAAAGACCTGAAGTGAGGGGAGGACAAAGTGGACATAAGAGAACAAAGTGGAACTCTGAAAGAAAATCTGAATTTGTGATGGCAAACCAGAGCCCATGAGGACCATCTGGAACCTGAGTCTGTCTGTCTTGG